ATGGCAGGAGACAGCTCTCAGTCTCAGTCTCGTTCTGAGATTCCTGGAGGCAGGGTCGCCATTTTGGACTGAGGTAGAGGTTAGAGCCAGTGACTGGTTGTTTAGCTTTTCTGACCTTCAGGCAAGCTTTATTAAAATACAAATATAACTACGCGTCTGGAACCGTAGGATGAGTTTGGGGATCTACTGGACCTACTGTGAGTCAGACTTCAGCCAAAACTCCATTATCACCTGGAAACACTATAACTGATTAGCCAGTACCAAAAGTTCGTACAAATCAGGCCACTCTGAAATCCGCCTTATCTGTGATGACCGTTATGAACACCGTTTTGTTACGTTGCCTGTAGTATGATAGCTATGATCACCTAGCTCTGGTGACTCAGTGCTGCCGTCTGGCCCCTGCTGCTTTAGGGCCCAATTAAGCCCCTTGCATTTAACTCATCCAATTGAGTACCAGCTTCTCCAAACCTAAGGTCTGGCACAAGGAAAAGGACGATGATGTAATGTGTTGGTGCCCCCTCACCATTTCGTGTCTTGTGGGATCTGTGAAGGTCGTGTCTTCTGGGCCTTCCCCTGGCAGAGGATTAGCCTTTGTACAGCATGCTCACCCAAGCATTGAAATTTCCCTGAGCCTTAAACATCCCTTCAACACTGAGCCAAGGGTTATCCGGCATCTCCAGCTCTTTGTCAGTAGGCCAGCTTTTGATAAATGCTTCAGCCAACTATTCAAACAAACTTTTCATTTTTGGGGGAGAGGGGTTTGGGATAGGATTTTTCTATATAACAGCCCTGACTGTCCTGGAACTCACTCTGTAGACCAGGCTGTCCTCGAACTCACAGAGATCTGCCTGCCTCTGCCTCTGGAGAGCTTGGATTAAAGGCGTGCACCACCACCTCCCTGCTACCTTTCCACGTTTTTAACTATGTGAGCTTCCATATATTAAACGTAGAATCTCTACTCAGAGGTTCCATGTCAATCAACTCAGTCTGGTCTTGTTTATGCCCCTTCTACCACCACTCCACACCCTTAAAACCCATTCCCACATATATTCCCCAGACCTCTGCTTGGACAAATTAGCAAGACCCAAGCTCCCCTTCCTCGTGGACCACACTTTCTACCTCACCTCTAGGAGTTTGCTTTGCCTCGGGTCTGGTTATAAGTCTAGGGCCAACTATTGGTGCCTGGAGGGACACTGGTATTGTCTTGACCGGCATTTCCTTCAGAGAAAGTTACTCCTGATTTAGCAGGCACCAGAGGATTAATTTCCTCAATGAAAGTTGAAAAGGGCAATGTTCCAAGGGGTGGGGCTGAGGGTACCACGTCCTCAAGCGAGATAAATTGAATTTGAATCTGAGGGTTCAAAGTTCCCAGCTTCAGTAGGGTCCTCCCACACATCCCCATCCCAAGTTATAGGAGCCCATTCTTTACCAACTTACCCTTTCTTTAACTATTGACATTCTCTGAGCCTGAGACTTGAATTTTCATTGTAGTTCAGCCAACTTACAATGAGGGCTTTGGTTTGATTTTCTGAGACTCGAACTCTGTGGCTGCTGGAGGGAAGACTCCTTCCAGGCCACACTTAGAAACACTGTTTCTCCGCACCTGGAGCTGTCTGTTTTATCACTGGGTCCATTGTTGTCCTTCACTGTGTTCTGAATTTGGTTAACTTTATCATGGAGCTCATTCCTATCCTTTAGCAATTTATCCAGAGATATTAAGAGCAACCAACTAGCAGCATCACTTCCCCCCAAACTGTCAAAGGTTTCAAATATAACATCACTGAGTCCATTGCCATTTACTACTGATGAATCAAGATAATCAAAGGCGTTTATCTCTGTAAATGTGAAACATAGTTTATTCCATGGGCTTCCATTACTTTCTGAGCTCCCAGGAGAGAGGGACAGGAGAGCTGGAGATGCTGGTGAATCAAAAAGCCTGTTCCAGATACTTAAAAAGTCATCCAATATTCCTGTTTCTCCAGAATTACTCTGGTGCCGAAATATGTATTAGTCAGGGTTCTCTAGAGCCATAGGACTTATGGAATGACTCTCTCTCTCCCTCTCTCTTTCCTCTCTTTCTCTCTTTCTGGTGTGTGTGTGTGAATTTATTGGTATGACTTACAGGCTGCAGTCCAATTGTTGTGGAATAATCTTTTTGTACACTTTAAAGATGTGCCACTCAGATTGACTTAATAAAAAGCTGAACAACCAAAAGCTAGGCAGGATTTTGAAGGCAGAGAGGATGCTGGGAAGGAGAAGGGAGATGTCTTGAGACACAGAGCAAGCAGTATGGGCACTATGGAGATGAGGCAGAAGGAAAATTAATAAAAATGGGTTCATTAAAGTTATAAGAGCTAGTTAGTAACAAGCCTAAGTTATTGGCTGAGCTTTCATAATTAATAATAAGTCTCTGTGTGGTAATGTGTAGTGATTCAGGAGCTGGCTAGTGGGAAGGGAAAGACTAGCTGCATCTAACAATGGTCGCTGTGAATGGAAAATCCAAAATCCAGCAGTTGCTCAGTCCCACGAGGCTGGGTGTCTCAGGTGGTCTTCTGTCTGCATATCCTGGAATCCTGAAGAAGCTGACTCCAATGCCAGTGAAGGAATGGGTGTGCTGGCAGGGCGAGGGCAGGCAGGCAAAGAAGAATACAATCCCTCCTTTCCTCCATTGTGCTTACATAGGCTTCCAGGGGAAGGTGGGGCCCAGACTGAAGGCGTGCCTTCTGGCCTGTGTCCACCAGCCTCTAGATCCAGATTAAAACATGCGATCTTCCTGGCTCAAAATCCAGATTCCAAGAGTGCCCTCCAATTCTGTATCGTAGTTCAACCCAGATACAGTCAATTTGACAAGCAAGAGTAGCCGTCACAGATGGATTCCAACTCCCCCTTGATTCTCCTAGCTCCCTTCTCTCAGTGAAGTCTCTGATTCTAGATTCCTTTGCACAATTATCCCTCCCTAGAATATGACAATGGCATCCAGTTCATGTCAATAACTTCAATGGCTTAGAAGGCCAGATGACCAGCCCCCTTCCTGGTGGCACGTGACTTCAGTCTCCGCACTTAGGAGCAGAGGCAGGCAGATCTCTGAGTCTGAAGCCAGCTTGAGCTACACAGTGAGGTACAATAACAGACAGGGCTACATAAAGATTCTGTTAAAAATAATTAATGTACAAAGACAGAATATCTGGTGCCTAGAATGCTTCTCCTCACCACCCAGGACATCCATATCCTGTATCAAGCTGTCCTGAAGGCTGAATTCCTAATTGCACTTACCATTTGGAAGTTTGTACAAAATGGATTTATGCTGGATGGTGGTGGCTCACGCCTTTAATCCCAACACTCAGGAGGCAGAGGACAGGTGGATCTCTATGAGTTCAAGGCCAGCCTGGTCTACAGAGTGAGTTCCAGGACAGCCAGGGCTACACAGAGAAACCCTGTCTCAAAAAACCAAAAAAAAAAAAAAAAAAAAAAGATTTAAAACACAGACATCTTTTGATAGTTCACACCTTTAATCTGGGCCCCATCTTTCGTTGGAATACTCTATAAAGGCAAAGGGAGAAGAGTGTTCTTTGCCTGCTTGCCCTTGCCTTGGTCAGCCCACCCAACAACTCCTTCTTCAAGATCCCAGCAGACAAGATGAGACACCCAAGCTCGTGGGACTTTCCATTTATGGCCTGCCATTGTTGGGCCACAGTCATTTCAATAAATTCCTATATATATATATTATATATAGAGAGCGATTCATTTCATAAGTTCTGTGACTCTAGAGAACCCTGACTGATGCACTACGTAAGAAACAGAGGCAAAGGTAGTGATCAGACATGATTTTAACACTTGCCGCCATCTTTCCAAGTTCCTTTCACACATTATTACAATAGCATTCATGCCCCTTGGAATGTGTGCAGAAAAAGACTTGCAGGGGATGGTTCTTGCCTTCCCCCTTGTGGGCCTGAGGTACACAACTCAGGCCACCAGGTGTAACAGCAAGCGCCTTTGTCCACTGAGTTATCCTGACAGTCGTAGGGAATGCCCCTTCTGGTTTTGTTTTATATTGTTCTTACTCGGGAGTTAAAATGAAGTCATTTTATTTTAAACTACCAGGGAATTGTCACTCTTTTATTTTGAAATATTTTAGGTTTTTTTTGGTTGGTTGGTTTTTGAGATAGGGTTTCTGTGTGTAGCCCTGGTTGTCCTGGAATTAGCTCTGTAGATCAGTCTGGCCTTAAACTCTGAGATTCACCTGACTCCACCTCCTGAGTGCTGGGATTAAAGGCGTGAGCCAACACGCCTGGCATTAACAGTGGTTTTCTGATTGACTATTTTAACTAGGGTCCTAGTAAATTAAGTATTTATAGTCCATAGTAATAGATGTGTCTTCATATAGAACAGCCCTAAATTGGACTCATTTGTAAAGCACATAGCAACACGGTTTTCAAAACTATTACCTTAACCAATGTGGATTTGTGTGTATGGTGGGGGTAGTACCTGTGTAGGACTCTGCCGACTTAAATAGGCAAAGTATGCACCAACAATCATTGAATCAAAGAGATCAGCAATCATTTAACTTCTGGTAAAGTTAGTACTCTCTGCTTCACTTCCCACACAAAGGATGTTTATATAAAACTTCAAAAACTATAAATTGCTATTTTAAAGTGGAATTTTAATGTTGAGGTAATGTTATTTCTATGAGTCGATATATTTGTGGCAATCGATCATTTACGTTAAACCCACAACCCTGGCTGGCCTGGATCTTGCTGTGTAGACTAGGCTGGCCCTGAATTCAGACGTGCCTGCCCTTGCCTCCCGGGTGCTGCGTTAAAGGCGTGGCTACGACGCCCGGGTTAAGCAGGCTACTACGGATTTTGACTACTCCTTAATCTGTCAGGTTTGTTGGTTGAGAGTGACAGACACCGAGTAATCGTGAGGAACGCATACTTTACGGGGGGCGGGGGTAATCCATTTTTATCGAGTCCTGTTTTCCACTGCATAGAAACGTAATGATGCCAACAGACCATCTCCAGCGGCCAGACTCCCAACAGCGGCGCCCCTCCCTCCCTCCCCTCCCCCGCGCCGAGCGCCCCGGACCCGTGCCAGGTCACGCCCGGGACGGTTGGGGTCCGGTTGAGGTCAGCGAGCCCGCGGCCGTTGAGAACTCCAGCTCCCGACAGGCACCGCTTCCGCGGCCCACGCGCGTGGCGGCGCTGCCCGCTGGGACTCGTAGTGCGGTCTGGGTAGGAGACCGGGGCAGCTCCCCTGCCTCCCTCCGGCGCACAGCTCGGAAACCTGGCCCTGCAGAGAGCCTCACACCCGTCCGCCCGTGTCCGGCGCCACCGCCCGGGGACGTGGGTGGGGGTGGCAAGCGAAGGAGAACCCGCGATGGATCGCTCGCGCACGTGGGGGGCGGTTGGGCGCCGAGGA